TTTTCCAATGAAACCGCAATGTTACATATGATATGTTTGCTATTATTATTCAATGGGCGAATTGATCAGAGCCATATGGATCACAATCCTAGTTCTTGTCGGTGTGACTAGTTCATGTCAATCATTTTATATAATCATCGATAATCAATTTTATTTTTGCCTTTTTGAATGTTTTGATGGCTTTTTTTTGTAAAATCATTAATCTGTTTACTATATTCTACTTTGTTCACTCAATATGGCGTCTATTCTCGTCCCTTGTAGGCGACTCGTGGCTCATTACGGGCCTTTAACAAACAGAGAGTCATAACTATCAGGTTTACATCACAAAAATTCATAGTGCTTATAATTGTGATTTGGTTTATCAAAAGATACAAGTTCAGAAAAAGATATATACATGTATCTTTAATATTCTCTCTTCTGAGCACAGAAGAACATCATCGTCAAAACGTATCTTTACTTGGATTTGAAACGAAAATCATAAAAAATGATTTTTGTACAGGACTAAATCAGCATGATTTCAATTTCAATTTATTTATTCACTCAGATCATGCAAACATGACAACATGAGGTAATGATACAATTACATGTACATAATAAATGAGGCTTCAGAATCAGACAGTATCAAAATAACATGGTATATAAATTATTAACATAAATAATATTGCAGGAGAGTCAGTATTACAACAAATACTTCAACGGTGATTTGACCTGCACTATTGCGATACTTGTAAAAGTTTCACAATCTGTATGTAGTTCATATAATTAAGTTCAAGGGATTTATCGCGGATCTGCTTTTATAAAGTCAAATTCTTTTCTGCAATGTTTTATGTTGCTTATAAGACCATTATTACAGTTGTTTAAAACAACTGCCGTTTATTAGATTCACCTAGATTTTATTATTTAATTGTATTGTTTCCTTTGTTGATATTTTGAATTTTTTCACCAAAAATTGGATGTACATATTTAGGCATCTGAAATCTGGTATAAACTGTAGTCCATTGTTTTCGACTTGAAGCTGGTGCAAGAATTTTGTTTTGTAATTAACATTTGATATCATTTATTGTACAAACATGTATTATGTCTAATATTATGTATAAGTATTCAATTAAAGTCAAAACCGTGCCAAAACCACCCAAACAACAGCCACCCTTAAACAGCATTACAGTGCTTAACATAATAGAGGATCCTCTTGATAAGGAACTCTTGTCTATAACGGAATTGTTATATTTCTCTTATATGCGGCCCTGGTCACAGGTGTGACTGTAATTATGCATCAATGTATATAGTCAGTACAAATATAATAGTTGCAAATGACGCTATATTAATCAGTACAATACAATAGTTTCAACTGAACCTGTATTAATTATATCAACAGTACGTTGCTCAAACCAAATTAGCCTTTTTCTGATGCAATTGAGAAAACTCTACATCTATAAAACCATTTCTGTAAAAGAAAGATGTCTGTTTAGTGAAAAGTATTTGTTTAGTTTTATGCAAATTCGAAAACAAATGCTTTCATTTACTTTGCATTCATTTATTATACATATTTTGTGCAAAATACAATAACATTTTCTTTATACTATAACATAATATTGAATGTTACACATAAGATTAAAAATAACACAGCACCAAAAAAAGTATTCTTTGTCATTTGCACTAAAACTTTATGAGTCTGCCATGTAAGCAATATGTATTTCAAATACTGCAGTTTCTTGAAATAGTTAAAAGATGGTAACTTAGTATTTAGTACTGATGCAAAATGGGCTTTGAAAATACGAATTAGATTGTTTACAATACATTCTAATTCTTACATGAAGGACCATCTGACGTTTGTTTTGTTGGATTTTTAGTCACACTGATACCGTAGATATCTTTCTAACACAAAACAATTTTACGGAACTGGACTCGAATCTACAGCGATGAGGATCAAGTGTTTCGAAGTCGGCTATTATAACTAAACCACACAGTCAAAAAAGACTCTTCAACCATTCATTTACCGTGTTGTTACTTTGATATATATCTGTACATTTTAGAGTTTTACAGTTGATTGAAAAATATATCATTATTATAGATACGCCCTAAAGGGACTTCACTGGCGTCTAACAGCTGAAAACATAAAGCTGTATTTCTAACATAATAAGTTGGAGCACTTAAAACAGGCAGGTATGCAACGATAGTAAAAGATTTAAAAGTATCGTATTTTTGTGCTTTTCATAATCCGATTGCGGTGAAAACCTTAACAATGCTTTCCAATTTGGGGTCATTTTGAACAATTTGAACAATTAATTTAGAAAAACGGAATGAGCGAATAATCTGGAATTTTGCACAAAGTTAACTGGTCTATATCGACATCTCGAAAAATTATTTCCAGTCCCGACATGTCAAAACAAAACCTCAGTGGAGTGCCTTTAAGAGCAACCTTACATCTTTAAATCCAATTAGCACATACACACAGTCGCATATTTCGACCCTTTTCTTCAAACTTCGGATAAAGAACACAATGAATCGATACGGTATTTCGGTCTAACCTACGCTTAGAAGCTAAACATGTAAACAAATAACTATTCATGGTCGGGAGGTGTTTTATTATATCGAGTAATGGTCTACCTAAATTTACAGTTATAAAAGTTGTTTAGATAGTTCATTACCTATTACTATAATTATAATGTTTATAATAACACAATCAAACCTTTGATAATCATGCATTTCTTGCTTAAATAATGTAGTCAAAGATACGTAAAAGTAATGAATTTAGTAACATTTATTTATGTTTACATAACATTAATTTATAGAATGTATTAATTCAACGTCACGTTTTGCAATATTCGTGATATTCGGATATACAAAACATATGTTTTTAACAAGTGAAAACAAAATATGTTTAATGTATCCTTAACTAGAACACGTTTTTCGGTATAACAAGTTCAATCATTTTGTAAGATCGGGAAACCAAATGTGCAAGCCTCATTAAATAAAGTCGTTACTTACTTACTTATCTACCTACCTACCTACCTACTTATGTTTTTTATATGACAAAGGTCATGATATTTTGTACTTGTTAACCTTTTTTAAAATAAACTAAGAAACACAAACAATTGTAATGAATGCAGAAGAGTCTAGTCAGTGGATGAGGTCAATCTTTTAGGATCTAGCTACAAGTTATACGTCAATTTCGAAAATTACAATTTGCATTTGCATTCCCTATCATTGATCATTAAAGAAAATTGTAGATAAGCCTACAAGATATGTTGTTTTGCATAGAAAAGATAACAATGGTATTATTGCTAGATCTATGTCGCCAACAAAAAAAATGCTACTAGTAATGTACATGCTATATAACTTTGTCTATTTGCTATTTTTGAAGCGCTTTTGACCCACACTAGAGTGTTTCTCTTGGAAGTACTGGTTCCATATGAGAAAACATGATCGCTATACAAATTAAAACTTTAGCCCTTGTTTGGGTTGAAAAAAAACAACAACATTATAATTGTCACGCCACTGCGGCATAGTACCAGGTTACTTGTCATTACTAGGCATGAATTTTTGGGAAAGAGACAATTCCTCTTAATAATAATAATATAATAAGTAGGTTACTTCTGTGCTGATTATATTGAAGTATTAACATTCATTGGAAATATGTTAATGAAGCGCATATTGTTTCACAACAATAAGATGATAAAAAGTTACAATTCGCTATTTTCTAAATATTTATAAATCAAAGAAACTATGTAGTATTCCAGTTTGGTGTTTGTAGAATGTATCTTTAATATGTTTTGCTTTATTTTATCAAACATTATCCGCTTAATAAATGCAATGTTTCCTCACTGGAAAAAATAGATTATTTATAATAAAATTGATCAAGAAAACAATTGATTGGATGGTATCTTCCGAAACAGCATGAAAACTTTTAAAATCAATATGTAAAACATTATAAGACAAAGCGAAATAAAGAAGACTTTTATCTCCACGGTATATACGTTGTCAATTGTTCATGAAATAAGTAATAGAAAGAACATCGAAACATAAGATTTGTTCGAGGGGGCGTAGCCCCCGAGTATTGATCAGATTGCGAGTGTTTTGATGTTCTTTCTCTTTAGTATCATAGTCATTGCGCGTGTTTTGATGTTCTTTCTCTTTTGTATCATAGTCAAACATAAAACACGTTCCCTGTTGTCCTGCGGAAATCGGTAAAAAAATGTAGAAAAAAAAACAATTTAATCTTGTAAATATTTACTTCTTATTTTAGTGATTGTCATGGTAGGTTGCTTTTTTAATAAAAGGGGATTCAAACATGAAAATAGCCGCCGCTCACAGTTGGCATCGTCTGACCAGATTATTGTTATAATGTTAAAGGAAAGTCAAACATGAAAATGTATGAGAATAACCACTCCAGACAGATGTCATTGTCTGGGCAAACTGTTTTAAAGAATGAATCTTTCTATTCAACAAAATATATGTGAGGTATATAACATATGGTAAAATTATAGTTTGAAGACCTTTTTCTCGAGTTAAATCATATACCCATAAGTGCTAATTGCATTGACTGGAGTTGTTGTATAAGTCACCTTTTATTGCACTGTCTGGGATAAAAATAGAATATGCTTGTTGATTGGCTACGATGTTTCTGGGGTTTACTTATGATGTTGACAAATGAAAGGGATAATGATAGAAAAATCATATTCTGATGCTCGTACATTAGTTCATTTAATCCGGGGTTCAACAGGAAAAGTGATCTTATCTTTGCCTTCAAAGGAAAAAGAATAACAAAACACTTGGTAATCTGATGTATACCCATGGGCTACGACTCTAGTAAACACTGTACAGCCTCGTGTTACGTTAACACGGGGAAATCAGAAAATTTGAAAAGAACTATAATTAGACAGTCGATACGTAAGCTGTTCCCTAACTAAGTGGAAACTCGAATATTATCAACTTTCGTTATATAAAAATATCTAAATTTGTCAAAAAAGGGAACTGAATGCAAACTTTTTCAATAAGGCAGGTCTTAATTCCACAATAAATGTTTGTTAATGGTAAAAATAGGTGATTCATTTCGTAACATACGATAAAATATAATGAGTATGTTATAATGATTTCAATACACTTTGATAAAGACCAGACGTGGTTGTATATTTACCTTACTTGACAAAAAAGGTAGCCATTTTAATTATCGGGGTCAAAGTTCTATAAATAAATATATCTGCAACAATCATTGAAAAATAGGGATATTGTAGATTATGCAGCTAAGGGAGAGATCCAATACATTTTTTGATAGCAATGCTGGGTATTGCTTGAGATGTATCTGATGTTTAAATTATATATCTCTGAATGACTAAACAAAGTTCATTGCATATGTTTACAAAATCACAAAATCTTTCAAACAAATTATCAAATGAATTTGTTTATCCATTTGTTGTTTCAAACTAGTTCTATCAAAAAGTCAAGTGCATCATTAAAGATCAATTTTAAGCGTAAAGTTGTTCAGATGTTTTTAGTTATACGATATACTTTCAAACCAGTTTGGTATACATTATTTTAAGTTCCCTTACGGGATCGTTCACATTAAAGCCATAAATATGAAAAGATGCAATTTGCTGATTTTGCCAGGAAGCTTACGGTATTATCCTCCCAAAGGTTTGCAGTCACTGAAAGAAAAAAATTGCAAGGTTCAATTAGGCAGGCAAATCATAAATTGAGGTATTTTTATTACTGGTTAAGTTTATCCTATGATTAGTTGAGTGGCATCAAAAGCTAAAAAAGAAAATGATGGTAAAGTGGCATCAAAAGCTAACATTGAAAATGATGGTAAACAAATTTCCTCACATCATTATATTAACCTCTTATAATCGTAACCATTTTTTGATAAAATAAATATAATTTTGTTCGATAATCGAAAACAGATATTTTGATATATGTCAGATATCTATACAGTAATCATAATCAAAAACTACATACGTGATACAAAACTCCACTTGGATACAGCCCACATGTGTACCTTGCTCTTGTAATTTCACTGTAAGGTCGAAGGTACCTCTGAGTTCTATTGGAAGTGGTTTGGGAATAATAATTGGTACTGACGGTACTTTGTACTCGTTCTAGAAATGTAATCTTTTTCAATCAATGCACAAGATAACATCAATTTATAACAAAGACATCGTTTTACAATACGTTGAAATGATAAGTGCTAAAAATTGACATTCTGATATCAATCAAAATATTTTTTCGGCAGAGGCAAGTGAAACATCATACGTATATAGACACGGGTAATATAATAAAAGCATACGCTAAAAGTGAAAGCGCCACTAAATTATATAAAAATCTGGAAACAAAGTGATCCCTCGGAAGCATTTATCACAACAAAATTACAAATGAATTGCAGACTCGGTTTGACTGAGTCTGTACATGAGGGATAATGAAAATGTGCAACATCCCTCACGCCCCCTAGCATAAACCATTAAATGTTGCCTTTATTCAGGTATGAAATATACTATACATCTTTAACAATTCAATTGCCTGTAGAACCAGTTTATTATATTGTTCCTAGACTAGGTAACCGATCTTATAAAATGTGGCTCATATAGATTAGTGTGTGTATCTTATTTCACTGTGGGTCAAATCCTAAGTCAAATGAAAGAAGTATGCTGGCATTTCTCCCAACCCCTCAAATGCTTGTTCGTTACTTGAGACATAAAACAAAAAAGAAAGTATGCAGATATGTTTGTTCGTTCATCACAAAAAAGACAGTATGCAGACACGTATAATTATAATCATTACCGCAAATAAAGACACTATATTCAAGTCCTTCTCACGATAATTCTACATTTAAAATATTTGCTGAATTAGTGATCACTGTTACATCTTAAAGATCCTGTGTCTTGTAATTAAGGATGTAACATACAATTAAGTGAAGTTTGGTGTATGTATATAACTATTCTTGTAAAAGAATTTCCAAACATCCAATGAAATATTAAATATGTTAAGCAAATGTTTATATACATTATAATAAACGTTAAAATTAAACGTTAAATTAATGCATTCATTTTATTTTTAACAAACAACTGGCTTAGACTTTATCAAAAACACATTTCTAATTATCTCCCTTTATTTACATGAAATATTAAGTTCGGTAATATCTTTACAAATAATGTTGTTGTTTTTAAACCTACAAAATAGATAAATCTTCATTTGACCATCAGATTTACGACTTACGACTTAAAACATAAAAATACGGAGTATTTAAACAAATACATCATGGTTTAATACAAACCTTTAAGAAAGGGCACGAACAATTGTTGTCATACTTCTCCATCATAAATGGTGGACATTTATTGTGTTTCATTAGTCTTTCAAGTTCTGCACACAAGTCATTCAAATGGCAATAATATTCACCTATAATGTCACACAGTTCCGTGTAGCCTCTATCAGTTTTCAGTCTCCAATTTAAATCAACCTTGAATAAACAAGAAATAATTTAAATAAAAAAATGTAACTGTAGAAACATTTCATTTTAAAGGTTGATCTTTATTTCTTTGGTTGTTACATTTTTAATATCTTATTGTTTAGGCAGACATTTCTTTCTTTCTGAATATAATTAAATAGTCCTTTAAAAACAGAATTGTTATGAAGAAAAGTTTACTGTAATTAACTTTAGTGAGAACATTTCCTATGTTTGTCTGGATCTTAAAGGAAACATAGGAAACTATAGTTTAACCACCCTCTGACAAGTGTATCTTGGTGCAATGACATTCATTCGAAGGCACATTTAAGTGGTTATATCCTTTTTCTATTTATCAATAGGATTTGTTTTTCAAATCCGAGCATGACATAATGGCTTACATCTATTCTGTTGCCGTCTTGTCCAACATCTCTCTCCAGATTAAACTCCATTATTAGGAAAATCCGCTCTCGGAGATTGATTGGATCAGGATACAATTGAAAACGGTGCACGTAAAATGGGGCTGCTGACCTGTTACAGTTTGTAAAGTGAAAATTGCTCTGGTTCCCGACATCCTATAGAGAAGAAGGAAATTATATACATGTTCATAAAATTATAATGTTTGGTTTCAAATTGTTCTGTGTCTTTGTGCTTGTTTTTGTTTGTTGTTGTTTTTTGTTCTTTTTTGTAATTGCTATAGTACGCCAATATTGAAATAATAGTGTTTAATATATTTTGTAGATAGACTGTAATGCTCATATTCATTTCCGCACAGAACCAATTGATATTTTTATGTTACTTATTGGGTAAGTAGTACATTTATATGCTTTTCATTCCTAAATTTATATCAAAAATGTTTCCAACTCCTTCAAATTAAAGAAAAGAATGTGTCAATTAGAAATAACCATCATCATTAAAAGTAAATATCGCTATAGCATATATAAGCATTATGTTAAAATGCATTCATCTATTACATCGAGCAGATTTACATTAAAGGAAATAGTTCGACTAAGTATATGTATGTTAATAAATTAAATGGCAAACTGCTTCAAATAAATTAGATCGATCACTATTCTTTAATTGTGTTCTTAGTTTTAATATCCATTTGAATCGACAATTCTGATCTTTGTATGATTAGATAGAAAAAGTGATATTACGGTACTCTAAAAATGAATATGTTGCAGTCTTGGAATAATTGAGACGGTTTAGAGGCGATAACCGAAGCTGCAAGGTACATGAACCATTCACGGTCCCGAGCATTGGCCACAGCAAAATTTTACATTAAAACATGAAAAAGGTAAGTTTTAAATTAATAAAAATGTATTTGAACGACAGTTATCCTGAAATATTTGATTAATTTATAAGCTGCTCCTGGTTCCCAGTTAAAAGTATGCATTTATCATCAATGAGAAAAAAAATGTGCAGAACAAGATACCGGTAACATGAAGTTTTAAAACAGGATCAGAGGTTATACAGACAGCATATCACAGAAAACCTTCAAATTCAAAGAAGCGGGAAACATACCTTGGGAATGATTTAACGGTATTCAAGTAAGAGTTCTGAAAACTCCGCGCAAAATGTTAGATTGGTGGTTCAACACAAATTTGTGCTGAGACGATCTCCAAGAATATAAAAAACATAACCTCTGATTGAACGTGAAAGGCAAATTTTACGGGAAATGTATTAAATAAAAGTCTTGAAGAAAACAAAAACAATAATTGATAGAGCAAACAATAAAGCATATCAATAAACATAAAAATAAATAAAAAACTAACTCTACCTGATAAATGATTCTCTGTGTTGAAACAGCCAAGCCCACCTAAAACATTTAAATGTAAATTCCGAAGAAACTTGTGTCATACACGTACATTTCGAGTACTCCTCTGAATAATCAAAACGGTTTTTGATTTGTTTCAAACGGGAAATTATTTTACATTTTAACCGATGATAAATGCTAAATTTAGGTAAACGTTAGTCTTGTGTTTGCAAATATTAAATATGATGCCATTGAATAATTACCTTTTTCTTCCTTGTTACAACTCATATACTAGTACTTATGATACACATGATAATTTTTGTTTAAATAATCACACAGTGGTCGACTTGTAAACGCGTCGGACTTGTAGTCTTAGGATCGGTACCCGCATGACTTTAAACCATGCCACCATGAGCAACTTGTTGTTCCGGGGGGGGGAGTGTTGAATGTTTTTGTGTTGTTGTTGTTGTTTTTAGAAACGTATTCGGCAATCTAGGGTGTGCCTATACGCTTATAGCTTCCTTCAAGATCGAACAAAAAAGTTTCTTTATAACGAAACAATTAAAACATGGTTGTTAAAAGGTAATTGTACTAACACACCTTGCTAAAGTCACGTAATCCGGGGGAAGAATGAATCAAATGTTTTTGGAGCTTTATACAGTGTAGAAATACCACGTGACCCAAATTATTTTCGGCATCATTTCCTAAACAAATATTGCTCGATTCGGAAAAGAAAAAAGCCGTATTTTATTTCTGTACCAATTTCTTTTGGATATGCACCAGTCTACGGGGAAAAAGCTTGCCACAGAATATTGGATCTCCGTCAGTATATGAGCCGTTTTATCAAACACTTTGTATAACTTTGGAAGTTGTTTGTATAGGAGCGAACTTCAGTTGCAAGCTATTTCGTTTTCTTGCAATATCTGAACTACACCATGATAAAAGATTCAGGTTAACATCAACAGTGAGTACGAAGACAAAATCCTACCCAAATATGTTCATGTTTTATTTATAATGGGGTAAATATTTTTTTCAATTGTCAATTCTGGCCCGAAAAACAATGGACTACTGTTTCAAGCAGATTTCAGAATTGGGTGAAGCTGCAAAGCTACATCCCTTCAGTTTCCTGTCTATAATGATTTTCACCAGGAAAAACATTTTTTATTTTACTTTCTACACGATGTTCATATTTAATCAAAAACAAATTTACCAACGATTTTTATTCGCTGCCCTATCAGTGATTTAAAAGCCATAAAATTGCTATATGTTTTTGTTAAGAAATTTATTTGCTCTTTCATCATTGTTCTTTCATGGTAATGATTGTGAAAAATCTATAAGTATCATGAAGCAATACTTATCGTGAACTTCAATACTGGTATGTAGAAAAACAGAATTTCAAATAACGTCCAAAACGGCAAAACTAAAAATGATACATTCTCGTTTGGACTTAGCCAATAACCATATTTATAATCATACATATACTAGGTAAAGAACCGGTAGCAATGTCTTAGTATGATAGCATGCAAATTTATTTTTTACATCCTTTTTTATATCCAAAGTAACCGTCTTTCGTAAACTGGATACACTTCAGAACACTTAATACTATTTATTTTATTATTACATGTCTTTCTGTTGAAAAACTGCCTACTGACCAATTTAACTTTATCAGTCACCCTAAGGATGAAGCATTTGTGAGACATGGAAATTAAATAAATATTTCCTCCTTCAAAAAGCCACTTTCCTTTATAGCTAAAGAACCTTCATATATATTTCCAAAGTACCACCATCAAGTTGTTATCTTGTAAGTAAAAATGCTACGACGGTAGGACGGAAAGACGCCAGGGATATAACATAATATAAGCAAATTGTTTCGGGCATGTAATTAATGAAGTCAATATAAGTGGTCATCCTATGAAGTTTGACAGTTAAGAAACTGTTAAAATATTAAGTCATTTGATATTGACCCCTGGCCTTGTGACTACAATATAGATATGGACTTTTTATTCAATATAGGCAATCATCCTATTAAGTTTGAACACTGTTAGCCCAATGAAACCTGTGTTTTGCTCCAGAAACCACAATCTTCGGTGTTAAGGTCATTGTAACCCTGTATTTTGATTTAATGACACTAAAATCAATAGGGGGTCGCGCATTGGACATGGTTGTTCATCATAACATTTACAGCTGTACGTCTCGACTAAACACGTAGAGTGAGTGAGTGCGAAACTGTCTTACAAGGATAAAGGATCCATCAGATGACCTTGACCTTTGATCTCTGACACTCAAAATATCAGCACAGTTTTCTACCTAATATGGACAATCATACTATGAAGTTTGAATATTGTGGGCCAAATGGAACTTAAGATATGCTCGCTAACGGACAGACTGACAGACGGACGGACGCCAGGGGTATAACATAATATGCCCGAAATTCTTTCGGGCATATAAAAAGTCAAGTATTTGACTTTTAAGTAAGAACAGCTCGGGAGACAAACATTTTTGACTTTTAAATAAGAACAGCTCGGGAGACAAACATTTGACAGTTGTATGATAGAAATTGAATATAATCTTCCAATGAAACCGCAATTTTACATAAAGATATGTTAGCTATCAATTATTCAATGGGCGAATAGATCAGTGTCATATGGATCACAATCCTAGTTCTTGTTAGTATGACTATTTCCAATGTCAATCATTTTAAAAAATTATCGATTACCAATTTTATTTCCGCCTTTTTGAATGTTTTGTTTCAAGAAATTTGACTGTGATTGATGGCTATTGTTTTGTAAAAACTATTTTCTACTTTGTTCACTCCATATGGCGTCCATTTTCGTTCCTTATAGGCGACTCATGGCTAATTTTGGGCCTTTAAATAACAGAGAGTCATAAGTAATGCAACTAAGTTACAGTACTATCAGGTTTACATGACAAAAGTTCCATGTTGTATGAAATTATATGAAAAATGTTCTACAAAAAGAACAATATCTGACGTATGATGAAAGTGCCTACAGTATAATAATAAGCGTAGAATGTTAAGGTTGTGCGCATAGCAATTAGCTAAATAATTTTAACGATACATGTACATAGTACATCAGATTAAGATTTGGTTTTTCAAAAAAGTATGACAATTTCAGAAAAAAATAAATACATGCATCTTTTAAAATTCGTTCCTGTGAGCACAAGTGGAATATCAAGCAGAACATAGCTTAAGTTCGAATTTAAAAACAAAATCATGTAAATAAGATTTTTGTACAGTACTAAATCTGCGTGATTTCAATTTCAATTTATTTATTCACTGAGATCATGCAAACATGACAACATAAGGTAATATTGCAATTACATGTACATAATGAATGAGGGTTCATAGTCAGACAGTATCAAAATAACAAGATATATAAATTATTAACATAAATAATATTGGAAAGTCAGTAATATAACAAATGCTTCGACATTTATTTGACGTGCACTATTGTGGTAATGGTCGGTTTCACTATCTGTATGTATTTGGAATAATTAATTTTTAGATGTTTATCACGAATCTGCTTTTATAAAATCAAATGATTTCCTGCAATGTTTTATATTGCTTATTAGACCATTGTTACAGTTATTTGGAATACCTGCCGTTTACTAGATTAACCAGGTTGGATTATTTAATTACATTTTTCCCTTTGTTGATATTTTAAATAATTTCGCCGAAAGTTGGATGTACATAATATATTATTTGAGCATTCTATCTAAAATCTGCTCTAATAGTCCAGTTAATTTGTAACAAAATATGCTAAAATACTTCAGAAAATTGGAAAAGCATGAAACTTGGCACAGATGTTAATAAAGGTAAAAGAAACATTTTGGGCATGGTACCCATTTTATATATGCCAAGATGTTTGCCATGGCAACCATTTTTAAAAATGGCCGCCATTACATGGAATTATCACCTTTCTTTTTCAGTAGAGGCTATTTATACTTACAATTATGCTAGAAATAACCCCAGTTTGCACTTAACATGAGAGATTTGCATTACTTATAATCAAAGATACTAGTTAGAATTATAATGCTATTAATTGTTTCTGTTCCTATGGTAACACGTTACTGAAATTACAAAACAGTCTATTTCAGTACTTTGAAATATTTTTCTGATTATTTTCTCATATTCAATTTATTTGTTGTAATCCTAAGTAGACGATCACGTCAAATAACTATGAAATATAATGACTTAAAATGCTTTATGTGTGTAGTGTGAGCAATTTACCATATAAGAAGTATTCAAATTGTAATATCTGAATTTATAGTATTTACAAACAGAATAGGATGTCTTAACATATTCCATCCCTGTAAATGCAAGGAAAGCTGGAAGTATTTATATTTCCTTCAGCGTACTCAACAATTTTTGCTAGCACCAAATATTACCTAAATTCCATGTTAAACAAATCTTATGATACTATGAAAATAAAAGAACAAAAGCGTATGTATAGTAGGTACTATATAGTGCCTGAAAGGGTCGATTGACCCTCATTAGGCATAGAATACACACACGGTCCTGTAGGCATTGAGTTCTCAGATCTATTAAATGTAACACCACTTTCATGTTGGACTATTCATAATTCAATTTGAGAGTGATTGCAACCTTAAAGATATAACCCAAATATTTAGTTTCATGTTTTTAAAGGGGAACACAGGCAACATTTTTATTTTGAATTTTTCATTCATTAATCTGTAAATCTTCAAAATATATATACTTGACAGTCATCGGTGATTCTGTCGGCGGCTAAATTTCGTTTATATTTACGCTTCAAACTCAAAATAAATAGAATTGATACCGAAATTCATGATTGGACTTTTACAAATGTCGTTTTAGCGTGATTTGAGTACATAAGATAATTTTGGTATTGTCATTAATTTGCCTGCGTATTCCTTAAATATTTTCTTTTTAAATCATACGTTCAATATTAAATCTTAGTTACGAAGATCTTTAAAGAGTGTGTAGTGTTGCACTTTGCAAGCTCTATCATGTCTATGCATATTGAAATTCTATTCTGAGTATCCTATTTCATGTATTATAATGATATCAAGTATCTCTCTATTTGACAGAAGTCTATCTGAGGTAAGACTTTCATCTGAAGTTTATGTTAAACATAGTCCTGAAAGGATTGACAGCCTTAGACTTGATAACAATAACAACCGTGACTTTACATGCTTAATCAATCACAGAAATCTCAAACTATGAATACAACAGAGACCAACATTCATGGAATGCAGTCCTGAAATCGTTAAAACATGATAAACAAGATCATCAATGAAAGACGGCGTAACGCAGCCCCCACCCTAAAGTCACATATTAAATGTTTTAATCAGGTTTCAACGAAAACCGGTAGTTGTTATGCCAAAGTCTGCAGGCGGGCAGGTGAGCGGACGGCAACTTTTGGTTTCCGCTCAACTTGAATTTGCGTTTGCCTATAGACACTAAACTTTGTGTGTTTGGGTAGCTTATAGCAAGAGGCAGCTTGGGATTGCCAAAGGTGTTTGTGATCAAAGTCACTGCTGCTTAAAACAGAAATTCAGTTTTCGCCCAAAAGCTCGAATTTGCTTTGGCCTATTGACAACAAACTTGGTGTGTGTGCTGCTTTTAAGTGTAACCTTGGTGTCAGTGATTAAGGTCAAGGTCACTGTTACACAAAAATAGAAATTCAGTTTCAGCTCAATCACATGAGTTTGCTTCGGCCTATTTACATCAAATTTAGTATGTGGGTAGCTTATTTAAAGATGCAACTTTGTATTGCTACCAAGGTTTGTGTGCTCATGGTCAAGATCACTGTCGCTTAAAAAAGAAACTCAGTTTTCAAATAATAATTTGAGATTGCTTTCACCTATTGCCTCTAAACTCGCTCTATGGGTAGCTTATATTACGATGCAGCTTTGGATTGCTATTTAGATATCTGGGAGCTATGTCACTTTTCTGTTTTGTTTTAGAACAAAATTACAAAACTGGTATTGGAAGCAAAGAGCCTTAGTTAGGATATTTGCTTTTATCTTTGTAAAGTTGCTCTTTGCGATTTCTAGCTGCAAACACGATTACCATTATGTTTATACTATTTGAGCTTCAAAACTGTACCAAATCTCAACCATCATTCTTATTCTATGGAAATGTTCGTACTTACGTCACATATCATAAAAGGAATTGCACATGTCAGATCAAATCTGTCACAAAGGAACAAAACCAGCTTTTATAGCCTATTTTGAAATTTACGTTCTTGATCTTGATGATGAATATCAATATGCTTTACTCTTTACTCTTGTCTTGTTTAAGCATGTCAATGAAACTTTGGAATTTGTTGTCAAGTCTGGAAACTGCTGAGCTATTACAACAAAACCCAGCACAAAATGCTGACTGAGACTCTAAATAATATCAAACAACACATTCATCACAAAGTCTGTTTTCATAAGCATGACCAAGAGCTGTCAGCATTAAGAGAGAAATACCCTAGGTATCTGATGTTTTATGGGCAGCAAGGTTTACTCATATTATTTTCAATGTCACATTTGTTCTAAACCTTAGACTTGGTGACGTATCTTGAATCTTACATACATTTGAGGCCCTCAGAAGAAAAACAGTGCCAAGATATGGCAAATTATCTAGCACGTTTGTCCATTGTTTTCCTTGATATGATTATAGCGCGGAAATGCCGAGTCTTCATATAAAGGGCTATTTACTTTGTAATGTCTAAAATAAAAACTTGTAAGACCATGTCTTTCGGAATTTTGGAAAACATGATTGCAAACGGAGGCCAAAAAGCATGAAACCCAGCAACTAAATGTAATATTTTGTGGCACAGGGCACTCTTAGGGACACCAAAATGGAATTTGACATATAATTGGGGGTGGGGTGAGGGGTGGCATTAAAGAAGGTAGAGGGGTATTATATTACCTTTAGATACAACCCGAAGGTAAAGAAATTTGATGTCATTTACAATAATGAGTTAGTGTAACTTCTAACTAGATTAGTCTTGAAAGTTGGTGTCAAGTTAGTAGTTTATCAATCGAAAACCAATGTGTAGTGTTTAAAAGCAGTTATTTCATCAAAGGTGTGTCAAAATCTGAGTCTGTAAACTGCAAATTTCTACAAAATCAGCGTTCCATTTTTATACAACAAATGGACAGTCATGAACTTCATATGAAGAAAAGCGATAGTTTAAAAAGAATTAATTTTTAGTAACGCATACTTTGAGTCCAGAGACATAGATAACATCTACATCTCTGCTTTGACAAAATGTACATTATATATGTCTGCCAGGTTTTCGTTTTTTTCTTTTATAAAGTTTCATATTTTTATATGACAATTCAAATACCAAATGACTGTTAAAATTTGACACATGTTAGCTTATAATTCTGTTATTCACACCTTCTTTGCTTAATACCTTTCACAGCTATCAACAAGATAAAATTGCAAGGCGTACACCTGACTTGATGGGCAGATATTTAATTTCCGTTTGCTTGATTTATGCTAGGATTTTTAAATACTTTTGTTTAATCTGTTTGATAAGTATTTTCTTGTGATAAACTAACCTTGTAAACAAAAAAAGAATGTTGTAAAAAATTGATGTCTTAACATCTTTCGAAGACAGCGATGACAAACCTCTACAATACTTTATTTCATCGGATTTCCAGGGTCGTGAAAATTAATGATAAACAGAAATAATGAAATATGCTAAGTGTAATAGCTTTAAAAAGACAAATCAATGTTTAAATACTAATAACAACTATTCTTCTTATTATAATACCCTAATATGTAGCTATCTATCAAGTACTCTTAGTAAAAACAAGTGTTTTTGAAATTTTTAACACGTATGGCGACCATTTTGGATTTTTCCCGCCATATTTGATTTTCAAAAATGGGTCCCATGCTCAATTTTTCTTATATATGTCAAAGTTCATTTGTACCAAATTTGGTGCTTTTCCCATTTTCTGAAGTAATTTTTTACAAATTGACTGGACTATAAACTGTAATCCATTTTCATCGACTTGGATCTGGTGCCAGAATTTTGTTTTGTAATTAACATTTTATATCATATATTGTACAAACATGTAACATAAATATTTTATGTCGAAGCGTCAAAACGGTGCCAAAACCACCCGAACAAAAGCCACCCTTTAACAACACATCAGTACTTAATAGAATAAAGGATCCTCTTGATAAGGAACTCTTGTCTATAACGGAATTGTTATATTTCTCCTCTGTACGGCCCTGGTGAGGTGACAGGTGTAACTGTAATTATGCACTAGATTATATAGTCAGTACAAATTCAATAGTTCCAAATGAAGCTATTTTAATCAGTACAAATACAATAGTTTCAAATGAAGCTATATAAATCAGTACAAATTCAATAGTTTCAACTGAATCTGTATTAATTATATCAAGTGTACTTGACTAAAACCAATATAGCCTTTTTCAGATGCGATGGAGAAACTCTTCATCAATTTAGGATTTTCAAACAGTTATTTTGAGAAAAGGGGAAAAAAACAAATTGCAATTTACTTATCAACCAACTTTTTTCTCACTCAATAAGTTGTTGAATCTGATATATTTTCTTCCCTTCGATTACTATTTAGAGATTAACGTTCATTAAAGCTTGGCTGTTTGTGAAATTCTTGTGAATTAATGACAAAAACAAACCTAATCTTAAAATGATGTTGAAATGGATTTTTTATTAACTTGATAACATAGATGACTGTTTCTAACCTTTTGGGTCAAGCTTGTTCAATTTTGCTTGATGCGTATCAGTGATATAAGGTAAACAAATGACCATGCATTTGGTGCAACGTGGAATTAAACATCAGCTATCAAGTCGTTAATTACTATTACATGTGCTATTTGTAAACACGAATGTCCATGTAACATACATATTATGACAGTTTTCACTTTTATTCGTAAACATACTTGCAGATATTTTAATCAGGGACAAACTATCAACATGGTTTGAGAAATGTCTTATAACAATAATAACACGAAGCCAATAAAGTATATTTCCGAAATGAATCTAAAATTGTTGATCGCTTTTCATTTTTTAAATACATATTTAATACAGAATTCAGGTTATTTTATCGGGAACATGCAGGTAAACATTCATATAGTTCGGTATTGTAAGTTATGTGAAATATGATAAGTTCCGTAAAACAATCAAAACTTCAAAACACACATTGTTTTTTCCGCCTCTATAGATATGTATAAATTAAAGCCAGTCTCATATTTTGCCACTGTCGATAAACTAAAGTAATCCACGTAAACTGATATAGTAACATGTTGTCATATTATCTGTATCCCAAGGGGTTGCAGTCGCTGAAAAGATTAAACCGAAAATTAAAGGAATTGATAGATAAGAAAATAAAAAAATTAAACTAAGGCAAGTTGTCAAAGAATTTCTTTCCATCGTGATCCAAACAATATATGTATTCTATTTCATTCCTTAAATAATAAACTGTAAAAAGATAAACATGAAATCGAAGGTTAGATAACAAACCAGATATATGCGAATGAGGATAATCTGACTTACATTAAAACATTAAAAGGTATTGTATCTGACCCTAAAACGAACATAGTGAAAATATATTTTGAACGACCTTGTAGTCATTACATCTACGTATACAAAGTGTTTTTCTTTCAAACTTGTATGTGCGCACATAATGCAATTACGCATATCATGTACATGCTGTAATTATACATTATAAACTTGAATTGTCTATTTCTGAATGACAAACATGTAGAACTCTGTAATTATATACATGTACAAACTATGAATAAATCATGTTTGTACATATTCTCATTCTGTGTATCATTAGGTATACTATTCAAGACAATTGAATGACCAAAACTAAAAATTTGAATTATCAAACATGATACGAAATATATTACGTTATGCAGAACTGGATTTCTATACATCCCAATATCTTTCCTTCCTCGTGTAGGTTAATGGTCAAGACAAATGTTCCTCGTACCTCATACGATAGCGGCGGTATGGGAATATTAATAGGCGGCAAGTCATACGGCCTCTGTAAAGATAAAACTAAATGCTAAAAATCATTTAAAAATGTACAAGCGCGTGATTATTTTAAATTAAACATGATTATTTTAAATTATTAAAATTATAGAATATTAGTTATGAAAAGATAAAGTTTACTTTTTACATATCTTTGAAATTGGTTTAGAAAGAAATTATTACCACCTACTTTAATGAATGGGCAACCACAAGTATTGTTAAACAGTTTCGGTATGTCCTCCCGACATGTTTTGCCTTTCATATAATCTTTAAGAATAGAACACAAATCGTTATAATGACAGTAGGATTCCCCTACGATCTTGCATAGTTCTGTGTAACCGGTCTTTGTCTTCAAACGCAAACTTAAATCAACCTGTAAAAATTTCAACATTTATAACAAACCTTAAAAAAATCCATTAAATTCAGCTTTTTCATAGTTTTACCAACCAGTGCTGAATGACAAGTTGTAAAAGTCCTTAATATGTGGCAATATTACTGAAAGGAATCCTAATAACGAATTTAAACCTTAACATAATTCCGTTTATGACAATAACAACATAAATTACATTGCATGCATAAACGTTACTATTATCAACGTTACAAACGTTCAATATATAATTATAATTATAGTTATTATAAGTGCTAAACGTCGGTCAGTCGAGCAAGCACTCGGTCATTCGTCCTGACGTCGGTCTATATATACAAATCCTATATCTCTTGCAAGATCGTCTTAAAACTTGGCTCAAATGACAACAAGGCAATGCTATAACCTATGCCACTTCTGTGCCAAATCATGGTTACCCTTAGAAGATCGAAAGAACAAATAATCATCACAAGTTTGTGTCCGGTCTATACAAACTACACCCCTTGAATGATTTTTCTTGAAACTTGGCTGAAATGTTCACCTAAGAAAAGGCAATGGAGCAGAACCGATGTCGGAAGTAAGGTTGAAATCAAATGTCGGTTTTTAGGTAATTTTGTGTCTACTCTATAAATCCTATATTCCTTTAAGGAATTTCTTAAACTTAGCACAATGATTCACCTCAACGAGGCTGTGTTCAGAACCCATGAAGCCTTGATGATCAAATGTCAGTCTATTTCGGGTCTGGTCTAAAAATCATATACCAGTTGAGTGGTTTTCTTTAATATAGCTCAAATATGTACTATGTAAAGAACCCATGTCGTTTTTGTGCAGACGTAAGATGGTTCAGCACGACAATATTGTTTTGTATACATTTTTAGATGGTATTTTTTAGTTTCTTGTTTTTGGCCTTTTTCAACTTGGGTGGTTCCAGTATTCCTACTTATATACTGTATAATCACCCTTAGGTGCCTGCTTTTTAAATTTGTTTTTTTTTTAAGTCTTGTCTGTGTTTGGGAAGGCTTCATAACCCAGACCCTTTAAAAATTTATTTTCCCATTAATTTCCCCGCCCATTTTTTTCTTTTTGGAAACCGCTTTCTTTTTTTTGGGGGCCCAAATACCGTTTTTCATTGATAAAAACCCCGTGTCAAAATTGAATTTTTCCATGATAACCCCGAATGAACACATCTGGGGGATGTTTTTAAATTTTAAAAAAATTTAACCCTTTTTGGGTGTTTGAATTTTAAAATTCTGTTTAAAGGGGTTGGGGGCCGGTTTTTTGGGTTAATTTTGCACTTTCCATTTCCGCCCTGAACGGGTTTTACCCAACAAGGCAAATTTTAAAATTTTTGCCGTTTTTGGGTTTTCTTTGAAGATTCTTTTTTTTTTATTTAATGAAAAAAAATATCAGAAAATTTAAAAAATTTTTTTTATTTATAATTAAATTAAATTTTTGGGAAATTTTTTTAAAAACTTGGCTGAATTTTTTATTTTTATCAAAAACAATGCGCAGGGCCTTGCTTTTAAGCCCCAAAATTTGGCGGTCAAATATTCCCAATTTATGGGGTCCCCCTTTTTTTAAAATAACCCCTTTTAAGGTGAAAAAACCCCTTTGCTGCCATTTTCCCAGGCCCCAAGGCAAGCTTTGTTCCCCAAAAAAATAAAAAAAAATTTATAAATTAATTTTAAATTAAAAATTAGTGTCAAAGAGATCAATCGGGTAGGACTTTATTTTCATCTATCCTGTGGCAGTCCTAAGGAAATTTTTTGTATTTGTTTAAATTTTTTACTCATTAAATAAAAGTAACATCCCTTTTAAAATACTTTCCCAAAATATATTTTTATATTCCAAAATTACCTCAATGTAATTTTATGGCTTCCATTCCCCAAAAGCATTTTATCGAGTGAACTTCTTGAACGGATCGTTATGTCCATTCCCAATCATAATTGGGTCTGGAGATATATCGAGGAAAAATTAACATAGAGTGGGACAACTGTATTATTGCAGTTGGAGTAACTGAAATTTTCTCGCACTTCATCGACTCCTGAAAAAATATGGTTTCAGGGAAAATTTTATGTTTTTGTTATACAATGTAAACACTGGTTGTTCAATAACGGGAAATATCAATAAATAAATTCATTCAAATATATCTAAAAGTTTTTCATTTTGCAAATATATATGAAATATCACCAACCAAGTTAAAAATGATTAACGATATTCTCATAAACATATTTTTTTTTAATTGATTAAATAACTGTTTTTAATACTTTAAAAACACTTCCAATACAAATTATACATCTTATGGAAAAAATGAAGAAAAAGATATTCTTAAACCTTGAAATATATGCCTTTGTGATGATACAAAATCAATTGCAAAAATGCACAAAACGCATACTGTAAGCGACTTGAAATAACCCATGGCATACACACTACGAGATAAATAACCAAAACTAAAAAAATAGAAAAGAACACGTAACCGGAAGGAAATGACAGATGGTTGATTTCTGTTGGAATTTATTGCATACGGAAGTAAATATGCGATTCAGCAAGATGGTTACAAGTTTAGTTCGGCGTTTTTGTTTGTTATTTGTTTGTTATAGCTTGGGATGTGTTTATTGTTATGATACTCATGTGCCTTGTTCTTGTTAGTTTGTTAGTTCGGTTCGAATGCACTTTTTAGTGCAATGGTAAAAGTTGAAACAAATATTGCTATTCCTACTATGTAGCCGTTATACAACATAAAATACGTTGTAATTAAACAACACAGCATATAATAAAAGATTTCGATGATATGATTATATTTACATATTAGGTTAGGACGATTTATAAAATTATTTTACTGTATAATGCATAGCCAATGTAACGAAATGTTCAAATAGCTGGCAAATCTCGATTTTTTTATATGAATATCTGAATGTCACTGTACACTTAATCGTGATGTAAATGAAAAGACGTTTGTTAATTTTGAAAGATTTGTATGTTGTTATATTCATTATTTATTCAGATTGCTTTTTATATACAGATAGTATTTTTAACATGTAGCAACACTTGTAAAAAAAAGGAAAATTGGTTAAATTTTATAATTTTCCGAAATTTTATCAACTTTTTCCCTCGGCAAAAATGAAAATTTTGTGACCCATATGTTTAAACCTTTAAAAACATTTGATTTAGAAAAAAAAACACTTTTAAATTTATAATTATAAAGGGCCCTTCAAAATTTTCCCTTTTTAAACGTATCCTAATTTTTTTTTACAGAGAAGGGCGGCGTTTTTTGGGCTTTTTTGTACAAATCCTCCCCCAATTTTTTTATTCGATAACTGTTTGTAATTCTTGCTTTAAAAATATCCCGTTTAAATTTTAAAATTCCCGGTTTGAAATTTTCATTTCCCTTTTTTAGAAAATATTTTTTTTTTTAAAAAGGCAAAAAACCCCGTTTTCTTTTAATCAAATATGTGTGTTTAAAAAATTTTTTTGGGTTTAAATTTTTGATAATGACAAAGGAAAAAGAGTATTTTTTTACTAGGGGGGCTCATGGGGATCAAAAATAAATTCTTAAGAAAGGGTTATTGTTTTTTGGGGGCCCCAAACATAATTAATTCTATCCAACTTTTATGTATTTTTTTGTCTTTTTAAATGTAAATAAATTTAGAGACATAAAACTTAGTTTTTATTACCTTAAAAGTTGCATTAAAAGTAATGGCTAATTTTAAAAACCCTAAGAAAAGGGGATTTCCCAAATAAAAGTAAATGTTTTTTATCAGCCTTTTAAACAATTTTTAATACAAATTTTAGCCCAAATATAAAAAGGATATGGTAAAACAAGAATCAACGGGAAAATGGTGGCTTTTAAAATTAAGGATTTTAAAATTTAAATTTTACCTTTGAACTTCAAATTTTTTTGAAAATTATAAAAAAAAGGGAAACCCCCCAACAACACGAAATTTTAAATTAGGGCATGTTCAATTAAGCTTTAATTCACCGTAAGTTTTCACCCTATGTCAATTTTTTCTATTTTTAAAATTTTACTAGCCTTTTTGGAGATAAAAATTTTTTCTGGATACAAATAATTAAAAACAAATTTTAAAATTAAACTTTAGTCCTATTTCCATTAATTTTTCCCAAGCATAAATTTAAAAAGAATAAAACTGCTTGTTAAATACTTAAAATGTCTAAAAATTGAATTTTAGCGCAGTTTTTAAATGCTTTTTTAAATTCAAAAGCATGAATAATCGCTCTTTTTTGGAATTTTTAAACAAGTCTATATATTTAATTTAAATGCATAACTTTCAAAGGGAAATTTAAAATAAATTTAGCCTTTCTTTTAAAACCCCTTTTATTTCAAAAAAATTTGATAAAACGTTAAACTTTGAAATAAATTTTGATAAAAACCCTTTTTTTCTTCCGGGTCAAAATGTAAAAACAAAAACCCTAGAAAAACATGCCCCAATTACAGCATAAACCCAAGGGTGTGATAATTTAGAAGGGCGGGTCCAATTATTGCATTGTGCATTTATTGGTATTTATTTCTAACTAAAATAAATACCCCATGTGTTCGAATTTGATATAATCAAAAAAATTAAATTTTATCAGATTTTCCCAAAAAAACATAAAGGAATTTTCATAACTTTTTTTTTAATGCCCTGAAAAAATTTTGATTGTTTGTCTAAAATTTTTAAATTTTTTATGTTTTGAAAAAAGGCTATATAATTGTATCGTCGGGATTTCACGGTTTTTTATTAATTTACATACTTCTTTTTTTACCGTGGTTTTTTTTACTGACCCAAACTCTTTATTAAATTGAATTTTTAATAGATATGAAAGGCAGGATCCAAAAATTTTCCCCAGCTGCAATGCTTTTTTAAATCGACTATAAAAAAACCTTATTTTTAACGGGGAAAGGGTTTGCAAAAATTTATAATGTTAATCAATATTATCGGGATCCAAATAGTGAAATATTTATGTTGTTCTTGTTTAGAAGCAGTCATTTTTATCATAAAGATAGCGCTTAGTAAAGGCCGTTTATTATCT